GTATCACTCAATTGTCTCGTCAGTGATGTCTGAAGTGATCTCAAGAACGCAAAGCTCGACAAATGAATGGTTTGAATCCATTCGTCTCTTTCGGTGTGAGAAATGGTCGCGAAATGGAAACTTCGGATCAATTCGTTTCGATTCAATTCAATGATAAACTCATAGTATTTGTTGGACTCGTCCACCAATTTGATGGCAAATTCTTCCAAAACTATTATATGAAGACATCTGTCATTCGTTGTATTTGTGGCACAATTGGTGCCATTCGTGTCGTTAAGAGTTTTGGTGGCGATTATCACCAGAAGATTGCCTTTAAGTCTAACAAACCTTTCGACAAACGACTCGCTCTTCCATTGGTTAAAGAGTCTGTCGTTTCTGTACTTCACGAACAGATAGCCCTCTCTGTCGAAGTCCAACCAATGGTCACAATCACCACAACTAAGTGATCCCAATTCACAGACATTTATGAACATCAGTGACAATCACTTCACATCTCTTCCCAATTTACCACTCATTCAATCACTCGAGTTGTTCAACAGATTCTGAAGGTATCTTCGAAATGCATTCAACTCATGGTTTCCAATACTATATTGTTTTGCAAATCACTATGAAATGAACGCTAACTCTATACTATAGTTAGTGAATACGATAGCAATTGGTGTTTGTGTGACAATGCATTCAATCAATACATCTGTTATGTAATATTGCAGTGAATAGTGAATCATAGATACATTAATATTGTAGTCTATTCTACAGGGGATAGAGTATTCACACAAGTATTCATTGCCTGCAAACATGCCATTGAGGATCAGGATTGAGGGAACGACAGCTGTGATGGGGATGGGGAGAGCCCTGAGGTGCAGGGTGAACATAGTGCAGTGCATTCAATTCATTTTTGGCATACGGAGCACAGTTAAAGGGCATGTAGTCTAGTAGCGTACAGTGGTCTACTACCGTATGAATCTACTGTATGCACAGAATATTATTTTATTCAAATCAAATGAACCACAATCTCATCGACAACTGTTTGATTGCAAACTTCCTTATAAATTAAATGTTATTTTACAACAATTTATTATAGACTTTATGGCCTTAAGTGGTGGAATGCAAACAAATTGCACTTCAATGTGATAAACTCCCAAATTTGTGATAAATTTAAGCCATTGGCAATTAGTAATGATTTTGAAATGACATTCTTTTACATGTAACATGTTTTTATAAATCTACTTTATATAGACGTTGAAAATAAATAAATATAAGTTAGATTTTATTAGAGAAATGTATAAAAACATAGCCAATCATCAATGTATAAATTATATAAGAAAATTATAGTGCAATACAAATAATCATTTCATACTAGAGGTATATAAAATTAAAATTCATCAATAAATAGTTAATAAAGCAGTTGATTATAACCTCTTTTTAATTAACTTTTCCAAACGCTTTATACGACTGGACTCGTAGTCATTATTTTGGTCAGAATTGATTTCATTAGACATAGAATTAGAGGTCAAATCATTGATCTCTTTAGAAAGGGGTCTATTCTTAAAGGCTTCGAGCAATTGAGTGGATTCGGCTCTTTTCACTCCTTTCATGTCCAGTATTTTCTGGAACTCATTGTTATCAGAATCGGGCAGTAATTTAATATAACTTTCAATGAATGGGTCGACCCTTTCGTGGGGCACGAGAACTACTTTGAGAATCATCTCAGCCTTAGTCATGCCTTTGATGACAGTCTTAGTATAGCTCGCGGGCGCAGTCTTAACGGCCGACTCCCAACAGGGCAACTCTATGAGCACTTTCTTCAGGGTATGGGTGTCCAGAAGCAGCTGTTCAGCCCCACCCTGACTCAGACACTTGCATTTGAACAGATGTCCGATATATTTGGGAATGAAAGTGGACGCAAACTTATTGCACAATTGGGTGAAGTATTTGCGCGCCTCCTGTAGATTATCTCGAAGATATGGGAACGTCTGCTGAAGGCTTGACGATATGCTCGTTAGATAAGAACTTTGACCAATTGGTGTCTCAACTGCTGACCACTGGGTCTGAAATGTCAACAAATTTGTTGTTTAAAAAATTGGTAAAATTTAAAATACCGATATAACTGTCATATATTATACTGTATCTTACTTTAATCATTATATTAAAAGCCGATTCACATCCGGCCTCTATATTGTGAATTAAAAGTTGAATGCAATTCGATATTATCCTAAATTGTATGAAACATAAGACATAAGTAGGACTCAAACAAAACAATGAGTGGTTGTGATGACTAACCCATGAAAGATGTCGAGTTCAGGACTCATATTGATTTTGTCAGTCAAAGTCTGGTCAACCTTTTCCTGTAATTTTTTCTCTAACTGTTGTGTAGTTTCCAAACAATAATTAGCGGTCAATAAGACACTACAGACTTGACATAACTCTCCTTTGGAGAGCACTTTAACCCCTCCCTCGGCCTCCTTAAGGAAGCTCTGGAGGAGTCCGGCCGCAGAACTGGCTGCTGAGAGAACTCCCTCTCGAGTGTTGGCCGCGTTTGTTATGGTATTAGAGAGACTGGCGATGGAGGAGAGGGCGCCCACACGGGGGAGATTGCTCTGAAGGACTCGATGCGCGTATTCTCTTAAATATTTCTGGAATGTTGTCGACAACAGCACCAGTGGTTGTCTATTACTGAGCGAAACACATGTGACTAAACACATCTTGTATTGAGTGAATAGTTTACCACTCGTTGCGAACACTTCGGAGACAACGATCTCTGTTTTGGAGAGCTTTTGGTGCTCTTCAACGAATTGGTCGATCAGTTTCGAGAGGTTCTTGTCCTGCGCCTCCACGTAAAGACTCAAATGGCTTTCAAAACATTGACTGATTTGTCCCCAAAAAGGATTTATTTTCAATTCATTGCTTTTATCGGAACCTAATTTCAGTTCATTTTGACTCTCCTTTAATGTAATTCCAGTGAATCTTTGAGACAATAGTTTCTCAAATGCCGTTGACTTGGAAATGGCGGATAACAAGAGGTTTACAGTTAATTCTTGGGATCGATTGGTCATCACTTTAGCCAATTCTTTGCGCGTTATTCTGCAGAACTCTATGGCAATGCATTCACTGACTTCCCATTTGGGAGGAAACATACGACCGAACCTCTCCTCGAACTCAACCAAATGTTTTTTAATCCAATTGAACCGTTTGTCGATTTTGTCGAGCCATGAGATCTCCTGATTCTCTTGGAATAGAGCCTTATATTCAGAGAGTTCCATATCCACGAAACGAGACAATAGTTCGCGTTTGATCTTCGGGTCGAGAATAGCCACTGCGAGACACCCTTCGGCCAAATATTGCAATTGGTTTTGAGAGAAAGAGTTTCTGGCGTTCGGGCCCTCGAATGCATTGCGGAAGTCCTCCAGAATTTGTTGTCCTAATTGGGTTCGTATGGACTCTACCTGTTCTGCCAATTGGCTGATATGAGGTATATGCCGGTGCCGTTCAAACTGCTTCAACACATCCATCACTCCCTGAAGAATAGACGCCGACTGTCCGTATTGTCTCTTCTTTGTCGCCTCTCTGAGGGAACAGTTAGTCAAGCATTAGATTAAAGGAAGTACTGAACAGATGGGAGACAACTGACTGCAAGCGGTCGGTGCCCTCAACCAAAATATGCAAATTATTTAACATTATTATAGATTGTGTCAGATTTCTCTTCGCATTATCCAATTGCTTGATATCACACGTGATTTCGTTGACCTGTCATTCAAATCAAATGTCAAAATCAATGGCCATTCAAAGCAATGGTCAAGAAATCAATAGCCATTCAAAGCAATGGTCAAGAAATCAATAGCCATTCAAAGCAATGGTCAAGAAGTGCATACAATTTGTTCCGATTGTTTCGCCTGTTCTTTGATCTCAAGAATACGGTTCGCGAGTTGTGTTATGACATTGCGGGCCGACTCTAACGCCTCCCTCCCCTCCCGCTCCACGTTATTCTGTCCGCGCACTACAACCCGGATCTCTTCGTCCAATTGTCTGCCAAACCAATCACAACAAGACATGGATTATGAGGTGACACTCAAATCAACACCAAATGCAGACCTAATCTTCTGTTTCATGCGATTCAAGACATCGTCGATATTGGAGAGCGACTGTTCCGATGGGAACAATGTGTTGATATACTCCACAGCGTTGAAGTCCTGTTTGTCCAGAGGGTCTTCGGTGGACAGGATCTGTTCGATCGTGTTTTGGACACGAGAACTGATGCCCAGAACACCGTTCACTGAAAGTCTGTTGTCTTCGCTCAGGTCTTCATTGTCTGAATTGAAGACTTTCACATCGGATTCAATGGACATCACTATCACTGCAATCAATGTATGTTTGGATCAAATGGATTGCAAACAAATGTCAATAAATGTCTACAAAGAGAGACAACACCAGCGCCTCAACCGTCATAACAATCACTCACTCACTGTATAACACATGCAATGCATTGACAACTGACTCGTTAGGGGCGACACAATACACGCACTTATCATACATTTCAGTATTAATATTACATATATTGTTGAACGCTATGATACTGTATTTGATACTGTATTGTAATATGACAGTGATAGATAATTGATCAATGTAACTTACAATATGTTCTGTAAATTTTAATTAAATTATAACAGTCAGTTATAAAACTAAAGTATCAATTATTAAAAAGTAAAATTTAAAAATTACAATACAGCCACATAAATGTTGTCATTGTACCCGTAGTTGACTTATGGGATCGTAAGAATTTTAAAGTTTAAAATTTAAAATTTAAAATATTGCTAACCTACCACAAGCTTTTACTTTCCAATGCTTTATCCAAAACTAATAAGAAGTAATATCAAAATCAATGACTAAACCAAATATATTAAATAATCATAGCTTTAATAATAGTTTTTGGTTTCATTGGAATTTATTGAATAATTTAAATAAATTAAATCATGAAATTAGGACATCAAATGCAGAAACTTCTTCAGCCATCCCACACAAGTCGTGACCAATTTCTATGTGAAGATATCCATCGATTCCAAAACTTGTGTCCCAAGTGTTGCGCACAATATAATATGGTATATCACCTTTGGATCAATTATACGTAAATATATTTCAATTGAAGTAATCATTAGCAATACGGGTGTGGAGTATACCTGTCAAGTCATAGCCAACTATCTGTGCGGCATGATTCAGATCATTATCGCAATGGTATTGAATAACACCTCCCAAATAGTGTTGCCAACTCTTGGCGTCCACAGCAACCACGAGTGGTCCGTGATTTGCCAACAGCCGCACCATTTGGACCTCTTTGTCCACAAAACTTCATGAAAAACAAATTAACAAAAATGCATTCAATCAGTCAATAGTACTATTATAGCAATTCTTATATCATTTCGAAATCATTACTTACTTATCACACGTGAAATTGCCTAAAATGCTGACTCCGTGTTGGGGAGTCTTCTCCTTACACTTTCCCACTCCTTCTCGAGTCGGATAATCTTTAAGAGTTTGTATGCGAACGTTGTTTTCTGCCATCCATACCAGTGCTGCACAGGTATCCCCGCCATCGCATCCTTTGTTGTCTTCTGTGGCACAGTCTATAAACTGCTGAACACTGTATTCGCGCAATGATTTGGTCTTAAGGGCGACCATAGTCTCGATGGTCTCGACGATAGAGTGGGCCCAACACGCGCCACACTCTCCTGTGCAACACAATCAAGTCATTGAGTTGACCACTGATTAGTGAAATAAGTGATAAGACAATTGATACCTTGGTTCCTAACTTTGGTCACCACATTCTTGTCCCTATAATCACACTTTTGTGGCACATCTTTGAGTTGTGTTTTAATATTTTCTTGATTATTGAGACTAAAAAATGATCTCTTCGTCAAAGAATGACTTTTTCGTAATGAATCCAATTTGATTTGTTTTTGAACTAAAAATATAAATTATTAATATAGTATTATAGCGTTATACTGTCATATTCCAATGACTTTCATTTAACTAACTTAAAACATAAATAACTAATATTAATTGCATGAAAACTTGGTGACTTTTATACAGTATTATCTTTTATATGGTAAGTTATCAACTTTATTCAGTAATCAAAAGTAAAAAGCTAATGTACTGTATAGCATTGAAATATTTTCTAAACCTAACTTAACATACAATAAGTCTAACATAATTTAACTTACAAGTTAGTCTGTCTACCTTATAACAAAAAAAATTAACTTAAAATGAATAAAATATTTTACCTGGCTCACAGATTATTTTAAACTAATTTAACTTATAATCAAATTATACCGTACTTTTAATAAGTAAGTTCATACGTATACTTTTAATCTAAAAAACAACATTGTGATTAAAACTGTTTTCTTTAATTATTAATAAGCTGTTACTGAACAGTACTACAGTAACACTACTATATTGTGCCAGGATAGTTTTGGAACATAAATAAAACAAAGTATTGGAAAAGATGATTTAGTTTGAAAATAGCAGCAAAATTAGAAATAGTGATCATTGATATAATATAGGGTCATAAAAATGTTTGTAATCAGCGGTCAAAGAAGCAAATAATTACTGATTTCTTGGAACTCATGAGGACTGAGATCAGAGAATTGTGTGATACCATAGACGGCACTTCTCGGACTAAGTCTGTGACTGTTTAACCACTTTATGTGAGTCAGAGATGTCTGTAGACACAAGAGGAAGACAATACATATGAGTAAAAACTATTTGAAGTCTTCACTACCGTTACAATCGGTATTTACAATCGTATCTAACTCACAAGTTAATCACCATCTGGACTTTCTACAGCTTCGCAAACTTCATGAGAAACCACAGTATAGATATGCAAAACAACATAAAGAGAATAAATGAGTCAAACTTTTGAATCAATACATGGTTTTGATTTGCAATCATTAATCCATTTATGAAAACAATCATAAGAATAGACATCTTGAGAGACAACCACTGAAACCAACTTTATTTGGATTGTCTCTGACTTCACGCATAAATCGCTGTTTCACTCATTTATGGCATTATCTTGTGATTAGACATATATTTACTGCAAACTCAGGACTCGGTTATCATTGATTGATTGATAGCTATATTAGGCGTCACTCACACCACCACTCATGCGGTTATAGGACTGAGCCATCGCTGCAACACTTCCACACAAATAGCAGTTATTTCACATCAAATGTCATTCAATTCATTCATTCAAATAAAGAGCGAAAACTGCATTTCATATGAAATGCCGGCATTTGATTGGCTTCTTGCGTGACATCTGTTCCCAAAGCAGAGCTCACTATTGGGTGGACTTGAATGACGCCATCGATGACCGCATCGCAGACACAGACAGAGCACAGACTCTATTGAATGACACCTGAAGTGAAGACTCGCTCACTATTGCAGAGAGAAATCCTTTTAACCATTTGTTTGATGTTTAGTTCATTCGGTCGACAAACACATCGTTTGACACACAGACAGACCATTCAGTTATCATCAAAACTCTTGAAGCCGACCACTAATTGCAGAATGAGTTCCAATAACATAACCGTCGAGTCTTCGGCCAAACAGACGGCAACCGTACCAAGTGACGTAGGGTACAAACTGGTGACTAACTCACTGAGAAATAAAACGTCTATTATAAAGACGTGCCTAACCCTCTGTGGCCCTTCCCTACCTAGCTGTGGTATCGGGTGTATGCCGGGGGCAATGCCAAATGCATTTGTCCGACCGCGTGAGTCACTTGTTGGACATCTCTTGTATTGTTGATCATTATTATCAAATGCTATCAATTTAGCAATTTTATGATAGTCAGTTACTTACAGAGTCATTACTATACAACTAACACACCTGTCAGTCCACTACGGCCACAGTGACTTGCCACCAAAGGGTTACGGGAGCACCAAACTAGAGATGAGTGAACTGAGCCTACCTGGGGTCGATGAAGAAGGTATCAAAAGAGCCACAACTCTGATCCATCAGTTGATAGCCAAAGAGGAACAGTCGGGAATAGCGGCCAACCGGATAGTGTTGGGAGGCTTTTCACAGGGAGGGGCTCTCGCCCTCTACGCCGGTCTCACTTATCCTCGACCTTTGGCCGGTATTTTGGCGTTCAGTTGTTGGCTACCAAAGCACGATCACGTCGTGCCCAACATTGCACACAACAAACATGTCCCGGTCCTCCAATGTAAGTCTCATTTGTTAACATATTATCCTACGGTTAATGGTGTCTAAAATGTAGTGCCGGTAATGTATTACTAATGTATTTTTGCTCTCATTATAGGTCATGGAGACAGCGATCCAGTGGTAAGATTTTGATTATAATAAAGTTAGAGTAAGATTACCACTAAATGATGTAATGTTAGGTTCAGACCCGTTGGGGACAATTGACTGCAGACGTCCTCTCGAAGGCTTTGACTAAACATCAATTCAAGACATATAGAGGAATGGGCCACAGCTCTTGTAATGAGGTATGTCTTCCACTTTATTATACTGTAGATTATAGGCTTATGCATGTGCCGGACATCTATCTACATTACACCATCTACATAGATGTCCGGCACATGTCGTAGAGAACAGTTAGCTATAGAATAGGGGGAAGGGATGTCTCAATAGAGTTCGGCAGTGTTTATGAACACACGGTATAATAATATACCTGAGGTTTATAGACAATAATGTACGGTATTCAGTAAATGACCAAAACTAACGTTATTATTTTTATGGAGTGTATTTCTATATGACATGGCATAAATCAATTTGTTTTTTAGTTATGGCTATCATGCCATTATGTCATTCAATTCATTAATTTTCACTATATAAACAGAAAAGAGTTTGTAAAATAAGAGAAAATGTACAGAAAATGTATTTAATCATTAATTTGTAAAGGTATTCAATCATTCACCAGAAAATTTCTGAACCAAAATTTTTTTATAAAAGATATTCTAAATGGTCAAATTAAACAGTTACTTACAATCATACTGTATATGTGTAAGCCTAAAACAATTTAAAGGTTTTTGCTATGTAGCGTTTACTGTATATGAAATATTTATTAAACTTCTATCATACTTTTATTAAACTTATTCATTATAAAAGTATATCAATATTTAATAAATATTTCATATACAGTAAACGCTACATAGCAAAAACCTTTAAATTGTTTTAGGCTTACACATATCATACATCCATTAACCTACATTTTGTCAGGTCTGAGTTAAACTAAATTACATTATTTTCATATGTCAACTAATGGCATATTTTGTATGATTTTTCAACTCTAGTAAACTTTCTCATTATTTACTCAACAGGAGGGATTTACAGTAAGGAATACTTCATAAAAATCTGATTGTATAGTAACTTAATCTGAAATAAAAAAAATTTTCTAAAGTTTACCATGGGAAATTTTCGCGTAATACCGTATAACTTATGCAATTAGTCCACAATAAATGTTGTCATTATTGATTCAATTATTGTGCTGTTATAGTGTAATACAGTATTAAGTAATGCATTTGATACAGAACTTAATACAGTACTGTACTGTAGTATTGTATAAATAATTGATATTTATTTTAATTACAGGAACAAAACGATGCAAAAACTTTTATAGCAAACTGTCTGTCCAATTAATCAATGGCTCACTTACGTATAAAATTCACATTTTATTATAAAATCAAACAATCAATTATAAACAAATGTTAGATTAAGTCCAACACACAATATTAGATATTCTGGTATTTATACAAAAAACTATAGTTTAATATAAATTATACCGAAAATATAGAATCGATAACTTTTATGCTTATGACTCGATACAGACCTGACTTATTAGACTTAAATACAGCGAAGATTTTATTTTTGTATTTATTTTTTAATTTTTCATTAATTTGGATGAGTTCTTCCAAACCAGTAATAGTGATGACTCCCAATCCCTTTCCAACCGATGTCTCTAAAGAATATTTTCCGAATTCTATTAAACCGATTATTTTTCTCGTCATTTCACTTGTCTTTTCATTTTCTAAATCGTCTATTGGTTTGTCTAAAGTTGTATTGTTTAACGTGTTTTGCATTTCACATTCCGTTGGAATACAAATACAATCCAATTCTTGAGGCACTCCTCGTCCGACACAAACGATTTCCACATTAATTAAAGCATTGCTTTTATATCGACCGGTAATTGAATTCAAGACATCACTCATAGTGTTTGACGACAAGTCGTTGGATAACTTTGAAAGAATTGATTCGTTTCTAATCACATAAAACGGTTCATCTGATTCTGTATTCAATAAAGTCTTCAGTTTAGCTACTTTTGTCTCATTCGCTACGATATCAATGAAACCAAATTCAGGGAAAAGCAATGAAGACGTATTCAAAGCAATCGTTTTCAAGTCATGCAGTCCTCCAACCCTATGGCCTCTGTTTTCTGTAATCTTATGCCATAAAGTCTTCGCAGATTCTGTCGACACAATCAAGTCGATTGTGAAACGGGTTGAGAAAGTTTTATATTTGATGATTAATACGAAGTCAAACGAATTCAATGTCTTTTGTTTTACATCCGATTCGAGTATTTCATTGAAAAGATAAGTTTCACTCGAGTCTATAAAAGTGGTCACATTGTCATTGTCTTTAAAACGCAAATAATGAACACAATTATCATTCAAATGGTCTAATTTTAAATTGTCACCCAAATTAAACCCTAAACGTGTAGATAGCAATTGCAGTGCTTTTGGACCAATTAGTCTAAACCTTTCCAACTGATGGCATCGATTTTTAAAAGTAAAACTATTTGCACGATATTGTTGCGAACAATCGGTTAGTAATTGCAATAATTGGTCGCAAACTGATATATGAGACCAAATCCATAGCTTAGAAAAGGATTGGTTCCAAAGGAAAGGAGTGGAAGCCAACGGTCCGAAAGGGTATGACTCGTAGCCATACATAACTGCTAATCCCTCTCTCTTTCCTGTCTCATGAAGTTTTGCTCCAAAGGTATAGCCGATGTCTGAATGAGTGAATTGTGACAGAAATGCAATCAAGTGGTGTCTGTCGGACGCGGAGTAATCGATTTGAATGCAGTTATAAATGGAGAGATAATAGCAAACAAAGTCCTGCTTTGAGTTGTGATACAAAATGCGCTCATTTTTGGTGCAGTTCTTCATGGGAGTGATGCGATTGAAATACATCTTCATTTGGAACCGTTTGGCAAACCAGACGTGAAGGACAGTCCTATCCGTCCTCTCATTCCTTCGCCTAACACTTAACTCGTGTTTCCTTTGGTTTATGTGTTTCTTCTTCTTCTTCCTACTCCTGTCGCCAACCAATGGTTTGTCGCTTTGATTGCCTCTGTTTTGCATCAATTGTCGCACACTTTTGGGAACTCTCTTCGGGTTATGACTGGAAGCCCTTCGTCTCATAAAACGTGGTAATCGTTGAGACATTTGTTTCGGTGCTTTGGTCTTGCATTCAGTGTTCAGTGAATCCATTTCCAGACAATGGCTCTCAATTCGCTTCAAGATATAGATCTCTATTTCAATGAAAAAGCAATCAATTAATTCATTTAGTAATCGATGGCATGTGTTGACAAAGACCTGTTGACATCGTGGACGTCGACTGTTCACCACTTAAGCTCACATTCATTGTGCGACAGAAATGTTGTTGAAATCAATTATAATTGTAATTATTGAGTGATCACTGAATTGTTGATCAAAAGTGTGGCAAAACATGCAAACAGTTTGTGAGGAGTGTATGACACGTGACTCCCATGTGATGCCTGAACAACATTCACTCAACTCTTTGCTTACAGTTTGCAAACATTTTCATATCATTTCATTTGATTGTCATGTGATTTACATTTTCATAGCATTTCAGTGGATCTCCTAAGACTTGATTGTATTGATCCCACGATATGTTAAGCAATTGTCACAAATATTGACCATAAGATGCGAACTCTGGTTAGAGTTTTGAATTTGAAGCAAATGTCTTATCTAAAGGCATATGACATTCAAATATCTGTAATGAATGACATAAAGAATTCACTGAAGTGTGGATCAAGTGAAGTGAACAACACATTGATATTAGTTGAACACAAACCGGTCTACACAATAGGTGTGCGAAGTAAACCATACGAAGACTTACATCTGGAGAAGCGGTTGAAGGGTTTGGGGGCAGAGTTTGTCCGCACAAATAGAGGCGGTTTAATCACATTTCACGGGTCCGGACAACTGGTCGTATACCCCGTCCTATACTTGGGATCATTTGATACTTTAAACAGAAGCATCAGATGTTATGTGCGATCACTGGAGACAACTCTCATTCATTTGTGCCATTCGTTTGGTGTGAAGACATCAGTGGTCGAGGGGTTGCCCGGGGTTTGGGTGGACAACGACCGCAAGATAGCGGCAATTGGTATCCATTGTAGTAATTCTGTGACCACTCATGGATTGGCCCTCAACTGTAACGTTCACCTCAAGTGGTTTGAAGAGGTGGTGCCGTGCGGTCTGTCCGACAAAACGGTTACTTCACTCTCACGTGAACTCAAGCGCGATGTGTCTGTCGAGGAAGTGATCCCTCGTTTCTTAGACTCATTTCAATCCAACTTTAAGTGTGATTTCAAGTGATTTTTATTTTTAGTCTTTATTTTGTTAGTGTCTCATAATTGTATCAAATTTAGGATTATATAAGCTGTACTGTACTGTACAGGGTAAATTAGATTAAAGTTAATTTAAAGTCAAATAAATAACTAAATTAAAACTGAATGTATAATAAGATAATTACCAATTTTTACCAACTTTTATTGACCTATAAATAACTTTTCACGTTTTTATCAACTTTATTAGCTTTTTAATAACTATTTAATGTATTTTATATTTTTATACAAAAAAGTCCGTGAATTTGTAAATAATTCATTGATAGTCGATTGTAAAAATAAACTATTCAATTTGTAAGAAAAATATTGAAAAACTGTAAAACAAATTATAAAACTAAATTTATCTGTATATATTAATCTGGAAATAGATACTGTATTTAAGTCCTCAATAGTTGGCCTGTCTAGTCAACTAACTAATTGTGATATTGATTGGAGTTTTGGGCTTATAAATTAATTTTAAATAATAGGCGACTCAATATGAGTGAACAGAATGTCTCGAAATAGCTTTTTGTTAATTATAATTCAAAAAAATCAATAATTTATATGACTTTTGCGGAAAAATAAATCACTTTTAAGTAACTACAGTATTTGACACTTTTAAATAAATTTTTTTAGTGACTATCAAGGTTGTTTTTACCACCTTTGGATCCAGTCTTTACTTGATCTACTTTGGATTGATTTACTTGATGATTTACTTTGGATCTAATTAATTGGATATGAAATTTAATAAAAAAATTGTTTGAAACTTTGAATGCAAGCCTACTGTATATTACAGACATAGTGTTCGGTGAGTGAGTGTTTTGGTGTATTAGTGGACGTACTGTGTGTTTGTGTTAGTGATGTAGTGGTGATGTTGTGGTGCCATTGAATCGGATTGACTTTGACTGCAATACCTTTGTATTGATGTTTGGTTTGATTGAGTGATTGCATGATTGCATGAATAGGTTATACGCGTTCACCACAACCATGTCCAAAGTGATTACTGATTGGCTGATACTATGAGATCCAATCGGTGACCACAATATGGCCATCAATGGTGTCAAGCAGAAGGAGTTGTTCCGCAAGAGTATGCGCGACGAGACGTTCCGCAAGAACTACATCTCTTCGGTGGACACAGCGGTCACCAAACTGTTGGAAGGGGTGAGACCTAAGAGGACGAGAGGCAAAGCCAAGTGCAGCCAATCGTCACAAATGGCGGAACTGCGGGACGGGAGGGTCGACCTCACATCACCCGACTCTATACTGGTCCACACCAACCTCAGGGCACTCCTCAACCGTCACACCTTCATGTCTTTGCCGCTCTACTATCAGTACAAATTGGTTCAGTTGTTGCCTAAGTTTGATCAGGTGGTGACCCCCGATGGTTGGATCAAACCCTCCTCGTCCGCCCTCAGCAACGAGTTCTTCGCCAAATCGTGTCAGTCATGGCTCGAGAGACTGTCCGACTCTAAGCTGACGCAGGAGTCGATCCAAAGGAGGAAAGTGGACGTCGAGAAGGAGAAGAGCAAATTGGATCCGTTCAAAGTCAAGAACTTTGAGCCCATTTGGGGACAACCGCTCGAATCCCAGCGCGATATCACCAATGAGTTCGACCGCATCCCCAAAGCCAAGACATCCCATGTCTGTCAGTCACGTCAGTCAACGCATAAATCCGTCCGAAAGGTGACGACAAACCTCCACTTCTTGTCCTTTATATACACTTATAGACTGTTCATTGAATTCATAATTAATTATATAATAGCTATGTTTGAAACTTAACACTCAATCCAATGATTACCCAAAATATGTGAATATTTGACTTTTATTTGATAACTTACTTGTATTGTATTGTATTGGCTATGCTTTAGTCCTACTTATTGGCGATAATCCCCAAAACCATAGCCAATGAGAACCCTTTTGTTATAAATGATAGTTTGGTTGAACTCTGAACTCGTTTTGCATTAGTATTAAGTCTAATGTGTGATCAGTAATGAAGACCTCATTTAATGCTAACAAATACTTATGTTTTTCTATTTTAGTCTCGCATTAAAGAGCGCATCAAAACCAAAGTAATTAAAGTACAGTTGCCTTCAGCTATGAGTGACTCTCACCCGCTGTCACCACAACACCAGAACGACCCCCAAATGGTGTCCCAAAGCTTTTCAGACAATTCCACGAATTGTATTCAAACAACGGAAACACCAGTGACTCCAATGACTGCAATCCATACTGAAGACCTCGAGCGCACCAAACCTGTGGTGGCGTCGACTCAATCGTCTCAAGAGATTAACTCTTCTTCTTGTGCGACAATAACCACACCGACGAGTGTTATTGTGTCGTCATCTCAACTGTTGAATGCATCCAATCAGACACTCACTCCCAGAATAATAGCCCCAAAAACCAAAGTAATTAAAGTACAGTTGCCTTCCTCTGTAAGTGAGACTCACTCACTATCACCCATACACTTGACTGAACCACAAGTGGTGTCCCAAAGCTCTGCAGATATTTCCACGAATTGTTTTAAGACAAGTGAAGCGCAATTGACTTCAATTAACACCGAAGATCTCCAACGCCTCAAAGCTGTGGTGGCGTCCACTCCTTCGCCACAAGCAATGAGTTCCCCATCGATGACAATAACCACATCGACGAGTGTTATTGTGTCGTCATCTCAACTGTTGAACGCATCCAATCAGACGCTCACTCCTAGAATAATAGCCCCAAAAACAAACTCAAGTCAAGTGAATAACTCTCAGCAAACACTATATGTTCCTCTGTCTCGAGAAGTGGCAGTTATTACAGGCCCTCCACAACAGTCTCATCCGAGTGGTGACCATCTCATGAGAGACCACCAGCGCATACAAAGTCCGCCCCAATCGACACAAACGATACTTCGGTTGCCGTGTAAACTGCCCACTGGTCTCACCATTTTGCCCATCAATGAGGTGCCCGTCATAACCACTTCCAACACAAACCTATCGCCGCAGTCAACGGCCGGCGCACAGCTGTCGCCCTCGTCTTCAGTTTGGATCCTTCCGGTCTCGTCAGCGACTGAAACGAATTTAGTGACGTGTAATTCAGTGGCCAACCATTCAGTGCCACATGTCATCAGAATGCCCATCACTATGACTAATAACTCGCATTCAAATCAAAACCATTCGACAAATAATATCATAAATCTGTGCGGAGAGACACGACTGCCCTCTCAGATCACTGTTATTCCCATCAGTTCGGCACCTCTGGAGGCAACGGTACCCAGAAGTATGCCCATGGACCCAATGCACGGGCCCTGCAATTTGAAACCTATGACTATATGCAGAAAATGTGGAGCTTTTTGTCATTCCGATTGTATCGGACCCTCAAAACTATGTGTTGAATGTCTCGTCCGTTAAGACATTCTTGCGATCGATTGACGAGTCATTGATTTTGTTTAAAACCAAATATATGTCTAAACATTAAGTTTTATCCAATTATTTGTTTTATTCAAACTTTAATTTGAAATGTTTTAATGATAATTAGGTTTGGTTTTATACGTCTTGTACAGAATATGACACAAATATTGATTATGATTTGAATTTAATTTATTTACAGAATATTGACATTCAATTCAATAGTTAACATCGATTTCTATTGTATTTCATTTCATTCAATGACACGTTTGTATGTTTGCTTCGATGACTAAATTTATTCATATATTATAATAATTATAATTATGTTTATATTGAATATTATTCTGATTATGAAAATAAAATCCAAATAATTTTCCTATAAATGTCTTGGATATGAATTCAATGTTTAATAATAATCTTAATTGAGTTTATGGCCAATCCTATTGGACTGGAACAGTATATCATTACAATGGTAGGCAAGTATTAATGTTAAGTTTTGCGTCATAACAATGAAGCTATTGTACGTTTTATTACATAATTTAATAATTTAAGTTCAAATCTTGCGCTAAATAGTAACCATGCAATTTGAATGGTTTAGTAGTGGCACGTGACTCAATGTAGAATGTGCCTGTGCAATTTATTACTGTAATACAATCAAGTTTAACTATTAGTGACATAGAGCCCAATGTTGTCGACTGTGTGACAGACACCCAATAGTCCATTCAAAGGGTTAACTATTATTTGATGATATTTATGACAACTTGTGATACCTTATTAACACTGATTGTGACCAATGGTCACTCCATTCACTATCAATAGGTATGACTTGTATAACCATTTTCACAGTCAAACAAAACCTTTTGAACATTTCGTCATTCAATTGATGCAAACATTGATTTATTTGTCATTTGAAAAAACTATAATTAAATAGATATCAATATAAATGCATTGAAATGTTAATTACTGCTAAATATTTGAGTAAAAGTCTAAATGGATGTGAAACTAATAAATTTCTTCAAACAATTGCTTCTCATTTAGTTTTGTGTGAAAAAGTTGTCAGTTTTCACTCAAAGAGTGTTTTGAGTGACAAAAGTGAACAAACGCTTGGTTTGCAAGATATGACAGACAAAGACATTTACGACGAGAGATACTTTCCTCCGAGTCTTCGGACAGCCGGTCAGTCGACGTATAAATTCAAGCAATACTTCCACGAAAGCCATTATCAGAGGAAACCACAGATCGATAGCAGTCTGAACGCTGCAACCAAAGTGTGGACGACTACCTGTCATATGATTGAACCCAAAGAAGTGGTGTTCACGGCATCCAAACCCAGGAAGAAGGACTCGGAGGCCATTGCTATGGGAAAGGCATTGATGTGGTTGAGAGACAATGGTTTGCATCCATTTTCATTCATTAATTGCTGTTTTAATTGAATGAATGTCTAAATTATTAATTTCATTGCTTATAGACTTCGTTGACAATGGTTTCAATGCAATCAAATTGACAAACAAACAAATTCAAGACTTTTATGACTCGACTAATGGTCCGATTAGTATCAAACCAATTAGTGGTGGTCTTAAGGATGAGATGAAGAAGTTCTGCAACTCTTTTGACGCGAAATTAAAGGATAAAATTGTTGACATTTGTCGCGCGTTTCGACAAAAAGAATTTGCTTTCAATAGTTGTGACGAAATCTCGACTGAAGATGAAGTGAAAGAGCCCTCGACTTATGGATCAGTTGTTCGCAATGTCTTTAATAATACTGTATATGAAGAAAGTAGTGATGAGCTTATAATTGATAGGGAATTGCAATTGAATTCATTTATCAACAAAAGAAAACGTCGGGAAG